GCGCAGGGAGTCGAAAAGGCTTTTGGGGGCCCATGTCCCGCCGTATAATAGCCTGCAAATGTGGGAGATGGTTTTAAAATTGAAAAATGGTGTTTCGGTGCCCACGATCGTCCGTATAATAGCCGGTAAACGTGGGGGTAGTTTGAATTCAAGGTGCCCAATTGCCCTATCTAGGCTTATCGCTAGACGAACGTGAGAAAAATGTTTTTGGGTGTCCACACAGTCCTGCCGTATAATAGCCTGCAAAAGTGGAAAAATAATTTTTGGGTGTCCACATAGTCCTGCTGTGTAACAACCAGCAAAAGTGAAAAAACAAATGGTTTTCAAAAATGTTTTGGGTGCCTACGTCCTGTCGTATAATAGCCAACAAATGTGGGGGATTGTTTTAAAAAGTTGAAAATGGGGTTTTGGAAAAATATGGTTTTTGGAAGAATATGTCTTTTGAGAAAATGGTTTTTGGGAGTTCACTTCCCGCCGTATAGTAGCCAGCGAAAGGTGGAAAGTGTTATGGATTGGGTGTCCGCTGTCCCGCCGTAGTAAGTCGGCAAAAGGTGGATTGTGTTGAGTTATGTGTTGGGAAGTGTGTTGAGTTGATGATGTTATTTGTAACTTGTGATGAATTTCTGAAATTGTGTATTGATGTGTAATTTGGTTTAAAGAGGAAATGTGCATAGACATTATTTGTAAAGAATGGAAACCAAAAATGGGTATGAGGATTATGGACTGGTGATGGTAAACTTAATGAAGTAGTTATGACAATAAAAGTAAATTATAAGTGTTGTTCTGTAAATAAATGAGAGATTGAATTGAAAAGGGTTTATTAATTTTGTATTATCTTGAATTGAAATTTGAGAGTATGAATAATGGTGTGAATTGAGTATAGGAGAATTGTTTGTAAACTAGAGAGGGAACTTGAACTTGAAGTTATAAAGTTCTAAATAAAAATAATGAGTAGAAAAGAAGAATGAAAGAAAAAGAGGAATATTAAAAATGAGAAATTAAATGAGAAATATTTTGGAATGAGTTAATAATTATAAAATGATGTGGTTCCTTAAACATAAATGTTTTTGAAAAGGATTTATGGTTTTCTAATGAAAATGAATAGTTTTGATGGTTGAAGGTTTTCCTTAAATGTTCAAATGGATTTTGAGAAAAAGATACTCTATGTATGATATTTTGAAAATACAAAACGTCACCTATTATATGGTATCACTCTGCATGCATGATCATTTCTATCTGTGTGTTAGTTATTGATTGAGAACTATGAGATTCCTACTGGACATTCATGCTCACCCCTTGTTGTTTTATGTTTTTACAGGAAGAAAATTTGGATTCATAGATGAAGAGTTACGAAGTCCATAAGTATGTTTGTGTAATCTCGTTGTGGATGTGAAGAAAGTAATTGTTGTATACTGATATTTGCATTTATTTATTTGTAGCTTTTCAGTGGGAGATTGGCATGTATCATTATTATTATCGTATTCGTTGAGAGAGAGAGAGAGAGAACATGTATCATTGTATTTCTATTACTCAAGGGTAATGAAAGTGTTTTTGGGTGTCCACATAGTCTCGCCGTATTGTAGTTGGCGAAAGTGGAAAAATGATTTTTGGATATCCATACAGTCCTGCCGTATTGTAGTCGGCAAAAATGAAAAAACGGATGGTTTTTAAAAATGTTTTGGGTGCCCACCTCCTGCCGTATAATAGCCGGCAAATGTAGGGGATGATTTTAAAAAGTAGAAAATGGTCTTCGGAAAAAGATATGGTTTTTGATAAAATGATTTTTGAGAGTTCACTTCCCGCCGTATAATAGCCAGCAAAAGGTGGAACGTGCTATGAATTGGGTGCCCGCTATCCTGCCGTATCAAGCCGGCAAAAGGTGGAATGTATTGTGAAGTGTGTTGAGGTCTGTGATGATATGTGTGACTTGTGATGAACTTGTGAAATTACCATTTGATGTGTAAATTGGTATGGAATGGGAATGCATATATAAATTATTTGAAAAGAATGGATAATGAAATGGTAATTGGATAAGGGGTTAGTGATAAAGAACTCACCAGGTTGTTTGTATCTATAAGGAAAGATTAAAAGTTTTGCTTTGTGATTAATGGAGAAATTGAATTAAAAAGGGTTTGTTATCCTTGTGATGTATTGAGTTGTAACTGACAATGCAAATGTGAATGTGATGTAAATGTTCTTGGATTTCTATATTAAAAAGTTATAGCAATAAAGGATGGACAGGTGAGAATGGAGTGTGTGAGGGTTGTTTAGAGTATTAAGGGAAGATGAACGTGAGGTTGGAGTTATAATAAATGTAACTAGTAAATAGGAGGTGTAGGACATTATGTGTTGCATTGTGGGAAGTGGTTTTTGCCACAATGGGTTGGCTTCGTTTGGTGAGGACGTTTGCATGTAGGAAATAGGAAGTGTAGGACATTATGTGTTGCATTGTGTGAGCATGGGTTGAGCTTCCTGGATAGTGCTTGTAGCCGGCTAACTTGCTTTGCGATCTCATTGGAAACGCGTCTGATCAACGTGGTTTCCAGTGGAAGTTCCGGGACAAGTGGTTATCCTTGTAGACTTGACTCTAATATGTCGTTGTTGCTTAAATTTTGTTTATGTGCTGTGTGATTATATGTTAGGTTGCTTTATTGTTTTGGGCAGGAAGAGTAAGTGTCTTAGGGAAGGGTTAGAGTTTGGTTGATGGATGTTAGATGTTGTTATAGAGATAATGAGAGCTATAAGGGAGTATAGTTGAGATAAGGCGAAATCTTAGGATGGTATAAGGTTAGTTTGAGTTATGTAGAATATTGTGAAAGGTTTGGAAAGGGAGTGTAAGAATTGGGTTTCATGATGATGAGGGTGAGAAAAGGGGTTTGTGGTATTTAAGTATTGAGTGACATGATTAAGGCTTGTATGGAGTCCATGAGTATGAAGGAAACTTGATAGTAAATGCTAGAAGTGGTTCTTGAGGAGGAATGTGAGTTATAATTTTTGTAATGGGTGTTGTATGGGTGATAAAGGTTTAGTGTGATTTGGAATTGGTGTTGCCATATCAGCGCAAGAGTGATGGGATTGTTAGCAATAGTACTAGTGCAACGTGTACCTGAGGAGTATGGTGAAATTCTAGAAGTATGGGGGAATGGTGTATGGAACTCCATCTCGGAGTATTTGATTTAGGACAACCTGTGGATGTTTGAGCGTCAAATTTAAGTTTTATTGAATGGTTAACTGAATTGGTTGATATGGGAGTTTGGGTGACAAATAGTCACTTTGGAATGCTTAGGTATGAGTAGAGTAGAATGTTTGAGATGTGTCTTGGAAGGGTTTTATGAGTGTGGAGTATTCCATATGTAATGGTGAGGCTTGGATGAGGCTTGTCTCATGTGGATGGAAATTCCTCGGGTTGAGGGAGGAACATTACTAATTTCTTGGTCTAGTCCGCATGTGAATGAAAAGTGGTAACGATGAATATGAATTGTGAGATGTGAAGGGGTGTGTATTGAACCCTAGATAGGGACAATTGGTGTTGGTTAGTATGTCAATGTTTGAATTGTGGGAGTAGAAAATTGGTGAATTGGATTAAGTCGCGTAGTGTAGGGGAGATGAACCCTTGTAGTTGCTCCCTTTGATGGGACGTGAGGATTGATTTGGGTTAGTTTGGTCTGTTTTGGTTTGATTTTTGACGAGTTTTAAATGAATGCTATTTGAAGTGAATTGACATTTAGTTAATTTGGGAATTGCTATGGTTCAGATAAATGGTGGTACGGTCAAGTAGTGTTTTAAGTGGTACTAGTAGACATGGAGTTTGTTTGTGCATGTATGTGGCAGATGTGAATTTGTGAAATTACCTTAATGAAATTGAAGTGTTTGAATGTAAAACTTTGTGAGTGCATTGGTGCTAATGTGTATTAATGATTATTTGTGCTGATGTTTGTAATGGGTGAGAACTCCCAATTTTTGAAAAGTCGTACATGTATTATTACTCCTCAGATGTACCGGATTTTTTTTGTTTGTTGTTATTACAAATGCGTATGGTAAAGGTGTTGTGAAGTCACTGGATGGGTGACGAAAATTATTGGGTGATAGTTGAAATTCACTGGGTAAATGTTGAGAATAATTTGGCAAATGAATGTTTCGTTTCTTTGTGTTGTGACTTGGGATGGCACGGTCGACTAAATGCTAAGGATTTAATCAAAGTTGTGTTAATGAATGGCATGTTGATTGAGTGGAAACTAAATGTTGATTGAGGGTAAATGTAATTGTTATGAAAATTTTATATTTGCAAATGTACTTTGATGGTAAATGATCACTACAAGAAAACAGCCCAAATAACACGGAACTTTTTGCGACGGTATAGGTACCGTCGCAAAAAATGGTCTTTTGCGACAGCGTTTTCAAACCATCTCAAAAAATGGTCTTTTGCGATGGAATTTTCAAACCGTCTCAAAAAATGGTCTTTTGCGACGGTGGCGACCCCGTTGCTAATGAATATATCACAAAAAAACATAAAACATTTGCGACGCTTGATATACTGTTGAAAAAAAAAAAAAAATTGAGACGAGAACATTTACTGTTGCAAAAGTCTTGTTAAAACGGCGTTGTTTTATTTGTTAGGATTCATCATTTGTGACGGCTTAAGTACGCCGTCGCAAAAAATAATGAAATTTTCTTCTATCCCGCTCATTTTAGCCTATTCGCGGTCATGTGTTTCCCCAAAATTCCCAAACATTTCTGAACCAACCCAAAATCCCTAAAATCTTTAAAACCAAATTCCCCAAAACCATTTTGAAGCAAAATCCCCAAAGCCCTTGAGCCAAAATTCAATGATGGTGATGGATGACGACGGTGATCGACGATGGCTAGCAGCGAGTGAAAACGGTCATCAACGACGACGACGAGCAGCAGCGAGTGGCGACGGCGACGACGAGCAGCGAGTGACGACGACGACAGTGAGTGACGACTGTATGCCTCTCTCTCTCTAATTACATCCAAAGTTCTCTCATTTTTTTGAATATATTGTCGAGATTTGAACTAGGTCTTGGTTCTTCTACTCAATGCTTCATTGAATATCAATCCATTTGGGCTTTCTTTTCATATAAAAGCTGATTTAGAGGGAGAAAGTTATGGAAGAAGTTAAGGGGTCTGATGCCGAAGCAGAAAAGGATGGTGGAGCTTTGAAGTTCGATGCGAATAGTAATAGTGCTGATCTCATGCCAGTTTCCCTTCAAGGGTTTGTGTTTTCTGCCTTTATTTTCCTCTCTCTAAAAAGAAGAGAATATTTTTGTAGATTTATCTGTCAAAACAATTTCAATAAAAACTCCTTTCTATCTATCTTTCTCTCTAAAATTCTCTTTTTCTAGTCTTCTAATTAGCATTAACTATGTCTTTCAGAGGGGTAAGTTGTTGAACCTATCTTGGTCTTTTAGTTCCAACTCCATTGTTAGATCCGATTCTTTTTAGTCCATCCCTGTTTAGATTCTATATCTGATGTGTTGGCTTGATTTTTTTTTTTTTTTGGGAATTTTGGGGCAAAGTGATTTGAAATTTTTGGATTTGTTTATCTGGAATGAATCTTTACTTTAGATGTTCATCGCCAGAAAATTAATGGGTTCTATTTAGTTTCAAGAATGTGGTTGTGTAACATCATTATTCAATGACTTTAGTACATGGGTTTCACTTGATTTAGTCTCTGCTTGGAAGTTCTTGTTTGGAACTGAGGTTAAAGATTTATGCTTTTTGAAAGTTTTTAGTTTGATGTGAATTTTAGTTGTTCTAGCAAGTGCTTTTCTTGAAAATTCATGGGCAAAATATGAAATTTGTTTAGGGGACTAAAGGGGTGAGAGTACTACTTTCTAAATGAAAATGAGTATGACCGTGATAGACACTTGTTGTAAACTGAAAGAATGAAAATAAGGTTAATTACACGGACACCTCTTCAACTATCACCGAATATCACTTTACCCTTTTAACTCTCAAATCGTGCATTCAGAACCCTGCATTATATTCATCCCTGTCGAGGAGGGCATTTGTATGTTTTCTGTAGTTGAGGGTCTAAATGTCCGGTTTTAAAGTTAATGGGGGTAAAGTTGTATTCAGGGATAGTTGAGGGGAATTCTTGTAATTAACCCATGAAAATACTACTTCATGTTTTGATGAAATTCTTTAGAGAATCCCTTCCATTTGTGTAGCTTCACACTTTTATTTCTTTCCCTTAGTTTTGAGAGATTAATGGAAGAAATCAAATATTTCAAAAGGCTCCCTTTTGTAACCATTCTACTTTGATTTCTCATTACTTTTTTGCGATAGGTAAAGAGTTATGGTGTAGGAAGTTTTAAAAGCTTTTTTATTTACTCTTTGTTATTTTCTTTTACAAGGACCATAAATGGTATAGAGGTTATGACGTAGCGTGATAGCACCTTCTTCCTAGAACAGAACAAAATTGTTGAATTTGATGCATTGTCACGTTTCAGATATATCATAACTGATAATTATATACAAAAAATACAAGTGTGAGAGTCCATTATATATTCTAGATTGGATCAAACATTTGAATGTATTGTTTGATTTCAGACAAATGCTTCATCTGGCATGGATGTTGTTGAGCTCAGCAAAAGCACATATATGGAATTGCAGAGGAAGAAGGTGCACCGTTATGTGATCTTTAAGATTGATGAGAAGAAAAATGAGGCTGTGGTCGAAAAGACCGGAAGTCTAGCTGAGAGCTATGATGATTTTGCTGCATCTCTTCCTGAGAATGATTGCAGATATGCAGTCTATGACTTCGATTTTGTGACTTCTGAGAACTGCCAAAAGAGCAATATCTTTTTCATTGCATGGTCAGTTGTTTCTTGATAATGCTCAAATTATATTGATTCATAAGCATTATATTTTTGTGAAGAGATTCTTTTTTAAAGTAAAATCTCTTAGCTGACTTTCTTTATTATAATTGAAATGGTATCTCCATAACCTTGATGGGATTGACTTATATATTTTCTTTCTTGGTACACTTTTATACAAAAGTATGTTGTCTTTTTGAACGAGATGTGGCGGGAATTCCTTTAGGTTTCTTGATTTACCTTAGTTCTTATCGCCTTGCCTTTGTTTATATACTTTTTATTATACTTTGTAATGGTTTTTTTAGCCAGATATGCCAAAACTGTTAATGTCAGTGTTCATTAATATGAAGCATTGGTGTTTACATTGGATTGTGCTTTTTTTCATTCCATTTGTGGGTTTTGCTTCTGGTTAAGGTTGTACTCTCACATCCTAGTTTACACAGCTAATTCTTCCTCAAACACATTTTTGGAAGTATGCTTTTTTTTTTTTTTTCTTTTTTGAAGGGTTGTGCTTGTCACAGTTTTGATTTGGGCAATGGTTTTATAAATGCAGTAATTATGTGAAAAGATGTTTTAGAGATTGGTCAAAACTAATGAAATTCTTTTTTGTCCATAATATGCATGCAGATATCTGGTACCTGTTGATTTGACTGTTGGGCAGTTTGTCTATGTGGTTTGGAAGAGGATAAAGCTTGGTGCTGAGAAGGCCATCTTTATCTTTGTCAAGAACATTTTGCCACCCACTGGTGAGAAAATTTTTACTGTTAATGTATATCTTCACTGTCATAGGCTTCTGAATTTTGTGATTGTATGCCAACATTCATTTACTTACTAGCGTTGAACCAGTTGCATACAGGATAAAGTAGATACTATAATAAAAGTTTTATGAAAATAAATTGCCTATTGTATATGTTTTAAACTTCATATTAATTAATAACTTGATTTAAAATAAATTATTATGTCCTGCATAACATTAAATGTAAAAGGTGATTACCATAAAAATCCATTACCCAAAATGCAGAAAAAAAAATGAAGTTTTAATATGAACATTTTAAAGTACTTGTGTTCGTTTGTGTATTTGCCATGTCACAGCTGCCATGATGTCTGCAATTTATGAGGAAAACAAGGATGAAAATGGCTTCCTGTACATGACCTACAGCAGCGAGAACACATTTGGATCAATCTGAATGCATTCGAGCCAATTTATGTAAATAAGAATTTCATGGAAACTTGCTGAAATATGTAAATTCTCAAGTCCTTTTTATCTTGCTCTTTTGAGACAGTTTAAACCCTTTTCTAATTGGATCTTTGAGCACTTGTGATTTGAAGTAGCAAATATTTTTATCGTTTGCTTTAGATGGACCTGAATGAACTGGAATGCTTGTGAGGTTTGTGTTAGCACTATACATTTTGTCTTGTATTCCTAGCATATGCTTCAGAGAGACCTATGTTACCAGAAATTTTTCACTCTTTTCAAAATCAACACATTTGTTGTGTCTGACTAATGATTTTTCATAATTTTCTTAAGTTACTATCATTTTTTAGGTCATGTTGGAAGATAGCCCTGTAATTGAATAGGCATTGTCTTTTGGAAAGAATAATTATGCATTCCTGAAACTTAGACGTACACCATCCAAAATCACCAAATGGCGTTGGTTTAGCATGAAACTTGGCACACACGACCGCCTTGGCACGAGAGACTTGTGGGAAAAGACAGGACTCCAATCGGGTTCCCGATTTGGGAGTTAGAGCTGGATTTCACTCTAGGCAAACTAGTTCCTTAAGAAACTTGAATTGGAGGTGTTGACGTCCCAAAATTACCAAATGGCGTCGGTTTAGCACGAAACTTAGCACACACGACCGCCTAGGCACGAGAGACTTGTGGGAGAAGACGGGACTCTAATTGGGTTCCCGGTTTGGGAGTTAGAGCCGAATTTCACTCTAGACAAATTAGTTCCTTAAGAAACTTGAATTGGAGGTGTTGACGCCCCAAAATCACCAAATGGCGTCAGTTTAGCATGAGAGACTTATGGGAAAAGACGGGACTCCAATCGGGTTCCCGGTTTGAGAGTTAGAGCCGGATTTCACTATAAGCAAACTAGTTCCTTAAGAAACTTGAATTGGAGGTGTTGACTCCCCAAAATCACCAAACGGCGTCGGTTTAGCATGAAACTTGGCACACATGACTACCTAGGAACGAGAGACTTGTGGGAGAAGACGGGATTCCAATTGGGTTCCCGGTTTGGGAGTTAGAGTCGGATATCACTCTAGGCAAATTAGTTCCTTAAGAAACTTGAATTGGAGGTGTTGACGCCCCAAAATCACTAAACGACGTCGGTTTAGTACGAAACTTGGCACACACGACTGCCTAGGCACGAGAGACTTGTGGATGAAGACGGGACTCTAATTGGGTTCCTGGTTTGGGAGTTAGAATCGGATATCACTCTAGGCAAACTAGTTCCTTAAGAAACTTGAATTGGAGTTGTTGACTCCCCAAAATCACCAAACGACGTCGGTTTAGCACTAAACTTGGCATACATAACCGCCTAGGCACGAGAGACTTGTGGGAGAAGACAGGACTCCAATTGGGTTCCCGGTTTGGGAGTTAGAGCCGAATTTCTGTCTAGCCAAAATTATTTACTAAATTATCTTTGTAACTATATAGTAGTTAATTTTTATATTTTTTGATAATTAAAATATTAACACATAATTATATTGTCATTAATTATTTTTATTTTTTGTTTTCAGACATTTCCTGAGTACCAGTTTGCTTCTTGTGGAATACAAGCGTGTGAAGATTGTGATTTACTTTTGTTTTTGTTATCCATGGAAGAATCATGAAGGAAACTTTTGTTTTTGATTTACGTTATTTTGAATTGTGAACAACATTATGTATTTAAACATTGTGTATGTATTATGCAATATTATGTGGTGGGATAATTTTGCTAATGAGTTGTAATAAATGAATGCAAGAATATTTGTATTATAGCTGAATTGTTATTTTTATATTGGAATTTTTATATTATTATGTAATTATTGGTTTCTTTTTCAATTATTTTCCATTTAATATAGGTGATTTTCATATTTTTAATAATTTTACTGCATTTTTTTTTTGTTGAGACGGCACCACATTGCCGTCGCAAATGATAGTGGCAAATTGAGACAAAAGCTTTTTGCGACAGTACTCTTTGCCGTCGCAAATAACACCTTTAGTGACGGCAACATAGTGCCGTCTCAAAAAATCTCAGATTTTTTCGTATTAATGGCGACGAAAAAATGCCGTCGCAAAAAGGTCACTTTGCCGTCGCAAAAAAAAGGCGACGGCAACGTACCATCGCTAAAACCCTTTTGCGACCCCTTTTGTTGCGACCCCCCACTTGCCGTCGCAAAAAGTCATCTGTCGTCGCAAAAAACCTTTTGAGACAGTATTTTGAGTATTTGTGACGGCATTTTACCGTCACAAAAAGTCAAATTTTTTGTAGTGGATGTAAGATGGGATACCGTTTGAGAAATAAAATTTTATATATACATATAAATGTGAACGGTTTTTATTGTCTTGTCTTTGAATGTCGGGTTGTATAAATAATTGGAAATGTTGCTAAGCTTAGTGTGAACTGTAAATTGTTGTGATGGACCATACATTGTAGTGTGCCATTGGCTTTTGCTAGTCTCAGCCGAGTTTTTGGTTTAGTGGGGGGTTTTCCTTCTCTTCCAAATTGGGTATTGGTCGTCCGGTGGTAATGGTACGTGTTGTTGTCGGTTGAGGAGTTGTTGATTTTCCTTGGGAGTACTAGTAATTGACGTTGTTCCTTGTCTCTTGGACTCCGATGAGTATGTTGGTCAAAAGAGTGATCACAACCTCTTCCTTATAATTCCTCTTGATTACGTGTCCTCGGGGCTCTGCAATATTGAATCCAAATTTGGGAATCTAGTGTGGAACTAGTTGTAGGTTAGAGGTTGTGTTTCCTATTGTGTTCATACTACCTTTTGTTTGGCCTTCTTCTATTTCGGGGATGAAATTTCCTAAGGTGGGGAGTTTGCAACACTCGCATCCTTTAATCCATTGGAGAGTGTATTTAATTCCCTTATTTTCATTTTTGGGAGTCTTTGGAGTTGTTGAATGTTGGTTTTGGAGGAGTATGATTAGATTTAAACTCGTTGGGTTTGTTTGTTTGTGCTTGTTCTTGTCAAAAAGTTGTTTGGGAACTTAGAAATTTTATTCTGGGGTCAATACCAGCCTTCCTAAGGGTCGACCCTTATCTATTGGTGAAGTTTCTGGAAGTGTTGCTGGAATATAGGGTCGACACCAGCCTTGGTGGTGTCGACACCTGCCTCTTGTTGCTGTCCACAAGGGTCGACACCAGTCTGGGAAGGGTCGACCCTTGTATATTGCAAAATCTGTGTATTGGTTGTTGGAAAATAGGGTGGACCTTACCTGTCTAAGGGTCGACACCTTGCATGTTGCACAGATTGCTTTTCTCCCTGAAGGGTCGACCCCTATGTGTAATTTTCAGCTTTTTGGGCTAGTTTGGGCCCTACTTTTGAGGGGTTTTGGGCCTATTATTTTCTTGACCTTAGGGCTACTTCTCTACTACTATAAATAGGCTCCAAACATATTTCATTTCATCTTTTCTCCTCTTTCCTCTCTCTCAAACCGTGAGTTCTCTTCTTTCTCTCTAAAACTCAAACTTTTTTACTTAAATCTCTAGATCTACTCACATGGAGTGATCTTTTCACCATGGTCCTTTAAGAAAGAGTATAGATCTCGTCGAGGGCTTCCTTTTGGTCCGATTGGTTCGTGGTTTCGTCACCATTGATTTTTGGGTTGTTATCTCTTGGCTTCAAGAGGTAGGGGTTTCTAATTCTCTTTCAATACCCTCGTTTTTGGACAGATTTGTGGTATTTTCCTTATATAAACACGAAAGTTTATATTTTTATGCATATTATGATGAATCACGAGATTGGGGGTTCGGGTTTGAAGAGAGAGTTGGGTTTATTTATTGGATTATGATCTTGGGTCATGAGTTTGGGTGTAAAAGTAATAGAAGGGTTGAAATAAAATGTGTTTTGTGAAAAGTTTTAACTTCCCTTAAAAACTCTAGTTTGGCTCATGAAGATGGTTAATGGTTTTGCTTCAATTGATATTAGAATCATGAAATTGAAGTGTTAAATTACACATGTACAAGTTTAATGAAAATTTTAAAGAATTTGAGAAATTTATGTAAGAGTTGTGATTGAACCCTTAATGTTGATGTTTTAAATTATGTTATAATGTGAACCAAACTTAGGGGAAAAGAAATTACTAATGTCATGGATGGTATGAGCTTTGTGTTGAAATGGTTGTGTTGAATCTTGTTGTGTGTTATGTGAGTTGTATTAGGTTATGTTGTGTTGAGTTGGTTGAGTTGTGTTGTGTGGAATTGAGTTGTGTTGGGCTGAGTTGTGTGGAATTGAGTTATAACTGACAATGCAAATGTGAATGTGATGTAAATGTTCTTGGATTTCTACGTTAAAGAGTTATAGAAATAGAGGATTAATAGGTGGGAATGAAGTGTATAAGGGTTGTTTAGAGTATTAAGGGAACACGAACATGAGGTTTGGAGTTATAATAAATGTAACTAGTAAAAAGGGAGAATGAGAACAACAAGGAGGAATGTTAAAATGGAAATTTAATAAGGAATATTTTGGAATGTGTTAATAAATATAAAATGATGTGGTTCCTTAAACATGTTTGTTTCCAAAAAGGATTTTTGGTTTTCTGATAAAAAGGATAGTTTTTTATGGTTAAAGGTTTTCCTTAAATGTTCAAATAAATTTTGGGAAAAAGATACTCTACGTATGATATTTTGAAATTACAAAACGTCACCAACTATATGGTATTACCCTGCATGCATGATCATTTCTATCTATATGATGGTTATTGTTTTAGAACTTTGAGATTCCTACTGGGCAATTGTGCTCACCCCTTGTTGTTTCATTTTTTTTTACAGGAAGAGATTTCGTATTAATTGGTTAAAGGATTAGGAAGTTCATGTATATCTTTTGTGTAATCTCTTTGTACCTTGATATTTGTAATTATTTATTTGTAACCTCGTAGCCGGAGCTTGGGATGTATTATCATTATTGTTGTACTCATCATGAGAGAGAACATGTACTATTATGTTTCTATTACTCAATGGTAATAGATATTTTTAATTAAAAAAAAAAACAAAAAAATGGACCTAAATTTCAGGCTCTTGGTAATGTTTTCAAGTAATTAAAATTTGGCGCGTGACACTTTCCATAACTCATACGGTGTCTTGTCCACCTTTTTCGTAAGTACTTTATTTAGAATGTAATTCGCGGAGAGAATTGCTTCCCCCCACATGTTCTGTGGCAATCCAGAAATAATCAACATTGCATTCATTATCTCCTTTAGCGTCCTATTCTTCCGCTCAACAATCCCATTTGACTGAGGAGAATAAGGCGCCCTTGTTTGGTGGATAATCCCGGATTGAGCACAAATCTCAAAAAATGGTGATTCATACTCACCATCACGATCACTTCTTAAAGCCTTAATCTTGCGGCCTGATTGATTCTCAACTTCATTCTTATAAATAACAAACTTGTCAATAGCCTTGTAGACACTCCATTTTTGACCGACCTTAAGACTTAGACGTCACTGATTGAGTGCTCGGTGATGTTGCATGTTGTGCTCATTCTGAGGTTTCAGAGACTCGGCTGCGAGCCTTGCCTCCGGACTTCCGGACTCTTTCGTGCCTTGCCTCGGTTTGCGAACCAGGCTCCGTTTTCTCTATTTTCTTTTCCTGAAGGGAGAGAGAGGTCTCATAGATCATCTCTCAGTGGCCGTAGGCTACGTTTCATGGTCGTAGGCCATTTTTCCCATTTGGAGCCCGGTTTCCATTTTTTTCAGAGCCGACGGCCGTGTGCCTCGGTTCGGGACCGCCTAACCACCTCCGTTTGCTCAGATTTTTGGTATGCACCTTATTTCCTCCCTTTTTAGGAACACTGTGGTCTGAAAGACCAACTTCGTGGTTGAACGCCACCTCCGGTGCTTAACAGCCTGTTTTCGGAGCCCCCGGGCCGCGTGTTTCAGTCCCCGAACCTTCGCTTTGCATCCGTTTTGGTTCATTTTTGGTAAAGACCTTATTTTAATTGTTAGGAAGCTTGTAGGAGGGTGGGAGGCCAGCAATTGTTCTGAAAAGCTAGCTTTATTTCTTCATCGCTCTCCGTCGCCCGTTTTCCTCACTAAAAAGCTAATGTTGACCACCCCGGGGCCACTTTCTTTAGCCCTAAACCCCATATTTGTGTTGTACACACCTGGGAGGCCACCAATATGTATAGGCCGGCCAGTAATTGTCCTTGACCCTTTTGAACCCCTCTAAAAAGTTGGCTTTTCTCTCTCCTGGTTCACATTTTCTGGGTTTTGACCACATATTTGTGTTGTGCACACATGGGAGGCCACCTTTTTGGGGTGGCGAGCCAGCAATTTTGATTGACCCTTTTGACCCCTGGCCGGCCGGCCAGAGGGGGTGGCCAGCTAGCCCCCTGAACCTTTTGAACCTGGCCGGCCATGATCCTCTCTCCAAGTGCCTTCCAGCTGTACCCTCTGTTTCTCCCCAGATCCTGTATCCGAGGGGCTGCCTTT